AGAATATTTTAAAGCTCAAATGTTTTAATTTACCCAATTTGGTTAAAAGAAATACAGTTCATTTTTTTTTATCTGGACTTTTTTGTTAGGTGGGTTGCTTATGCCAGTTTGACTTAGTATTTTTAGTATTTAAAAATGGTACTTCTGCTAAAGAATTTAATTAAATACTTTGACACTGTCAAATTGACAATAATATTTATTATTGATAATTTACTTGTCAATTATAAATAAAAAGATAATTATGCCAAAAATAATAGCAACGAATTCGAATGTAAAAGCCCTTTTGAGGGCAAAACTTAATTTTGATGAAATTATGTTAAATGCCACAATGGAAGAAAAAGTACATCGTCTTATGGACATTTTTGGAGTAAAAAAGTAACGAATTTGGTTTTATAAATATCACACATTATTTTCACATTATTCACCATTTGGACAACATTTACGTTTAGAAAAAAATTTAATTTCTTTTATATAAATTCTTTTCAAAGCGAAGATTATTATCCGCTAGGAATACTTTCTCTTCTGGGCCGTAAAGCAACCTACATTTAACTACTTTTTTATATAATTTTACTCATCCAAGCACCACCAAAGCCAAATTAATTGCATTTTTAACTACGAATTTCGACAACTCAACTTGACGAATTAAAACGAAGTTATAATTAAAAAAGTGAACAATTTGTAAGGTTAGGATTTTCTTCGCGCGCCAGACCACTTTAATCAATAAAGCCATGAGTTCGGACATATTAAATCAACTCAATTTTAAAATGATGAGTAAATCAACGTTTGCAAGAGTAATTGTACTTAAAGTGGTAATTAAAACGCTGTTTTAAGTCTTCTACGATTTAAAATGTTTTATAAACTTGCAATCAATTTGAATCCAGATCGCGACATGTTTTATATAAAATAAAGACTTCGCCATGATGTACATTTTGACATTATTATGTTACGATAAAACTAAAACAAATCAACCAACCCAACACTTTTTAACAAAGGAACAACAAATTTATAAAATAAAAAATAAAAAAAAGTTCGACAACTTCTAGTGGTATCGAACCCGGTACCTCTTGCATGCCAAGCGACCGCCCTACCATTTGAGCCATCCAGCTTAACATTAATTTTATAACGCTCGGGGAACAAAAACGGATTTACAGTGTGTGACGTCAGTCGGGATCAAAGTTAAGTCCCGCCTCAGGACGGGAGCCACTTCGTATTAAAAATTATACGCCTTAGATCTTCTTAAATAACTGAAAAACGGTGAAAATCACTTAGGGCCAGTTTTTCAATATCATTTAATCCGAGGTTTAACTTCAAACCCCGAGTTAAATTTGGAGTTAACTAAATTCGCGTTTTTCAATTCATTTTGATCCCCGAGTTTATATTAACCTCAGAGTTACTTTAATTCCCAGAAAGGGTATGAGTTAAGTAAGAATTAGGGCCAGTTCTTCAATGTGATTTAATCCGAGGTTTAACTTCAAACCCCGAGTTAAATTTGGAGTTAACTAAATTCGCGTTTTTCAATTCATTTTGATCCCCGAGTTTATATTAAACCCAGAGTTACTTTAATTCCCAGAAAGCGTATGAGTTAAGTAAGAATTAAAATAAAAAGAGGTTAAATATCGTTCTGTTGTGAGTGTTGTGTAAAGTGATAATGTTGGACTATGATGTAAATGCCTATAGTAATGATGAAGAGAACTTTAGAAGACCAAAAGTTATTTGTCCAAAAATAAACCATTTTGAAATGTGGGACAATATTGATTTTCTAATCAGATTTTGGTGGTCTCCAACAGGTGAAAAGTTTATTTAGCAAAAAGTATTCCAAGACGACTCTTATAAGAGTCGTCTTGGAATACTTTTTGCTAAATAAACTTTTCACCTGTTGGAGACCACCAAAATCTGATTAGAAAATCTAGAAAAGCTATAGCTTATTGAGTCCTAAATGTCATATTTTAATTTTCTCGTTTTAGAAATGACGCTTTATCAATTGTTGCTTACCCTGCGGTTTTACGCCACGGGTTCTTAAAATTTTATAAACAAGCCGCAACACTTTTATTTTCAAACAATTTTCTTTCTGCAGTTTAACAAAACCAATTTTGTCTTGAATTAGCTGTTCGTTTAGCCGGACAGGTTTGCGCCCCGTCAACGACTGGGTAGTACCCATGACTTTCTTGCGATTTTTTAATTTTTTATGCATTTTACTTTCTTTTTAGCCGAAAAAAAAGTTGTAGATCGAGCCTTTTTTTGAGCGGTTCAGAATCACATATAGCAGTTTTATTACACGACATCACTGCCTTTAAATAAATTACAGCACATTTTCCACTAAAGCAAAAAATAAACTCACCGTAATCTTAAAATTGTAATCAATAAATTTAATAATTTTATAATAATGATCAAACTACCTTCGTGGCATTCTTTTCTAAAGGTTTAAACCGCAAAACAGTCAAAAATGAGGTTGGCGTGCAGCCGTTACCATGACAACGCATTACCAACCTTACAAATTTTATTCAAACCTAGAGTTGATAAATCCTCACTATGATTGTAATTGAAAAACCCGAACGCGACCCTAACTCGGAGTTGACTTAAGTCAGAGATAAGTTATTTAACTCTGGATTTAACTAGCCTATTGAAAAACTGGCCCTTAGATGTTTGGATGCAAAATAAAATTTGAAGATTTTTTTAAATAATAAAACAAACACTAAAATGATTTTTGTACCAAAAAGTTTTCATTTAAATATGTTTATGATCTGCTTTATATATGGGTGATTCTACAAAAGTTGGGCAACTTTTAACCTCATTTTGTTTATATAGTTTTCGGAGAAAATTAAACAGTATTTTGTTATGAGAACATAGATAATATAATAAATATACAGTTCCAGACCGGGCCAGTCACTTTCTCAAACAGTTTGTGAAATATCTGTTTTCTAAATTTGAATGCAAGTGACGTGTATACCAGGGTACTAATTAAATACATAATTTATTGGAAAATATAAGATTTATTGCAACTTTCAGCGTATTATATCTTAAAATCATATAATACCACACATCAGTGGCGGCTGGTGGATTTTGGTGGATATCTCAATTATTAGATATGGGACCCACACCAAAATATGAGTTCCCTGTTGTAAATGACATATAAAATCATATATGAAAAATCCCTGCTGGTTCCAATATGATACTATATGATTTTTGAAACAGACATTACATATAAGACCATACTGAAAACGCAGCATATTCATTTCTACACAGGCATATAAAAAACTGACCATATACAATTTATTACCTATAAATTCATATTCATTCATATATGATTTAAGATGGATTTTCATATAAATTTCTGTCATATAAAACCATATAAACACATACAGTTCATAATACTGATTACATAGTGTCATATAACAAACTATAAAAACATATAGAAACACTGTACGGATTCTATATGTTTCTACTGGTCATTTTCAACAGGGTTTATAATGAGTCATTATTAATGACATTAGTTCTGCGTAAGCAGAATTTAAATTGAAGTTTGCGAAAAAAGATAACCGAAACATCGACCATGGTACAGTTGTATTCAATAAAAAAGCGTACAAGAATTAGAATGAGAGAAAACTGTCAAAATAATATTGCTTAAAACCGGCTTATCACTGACATAAGTCATTAAAATAATTACTATAGGTTATAAAGAGCATTGACGTCGTAGGTTAATTAAATAATATTACAAAAATTATTACCTTTTAGAAATGAAAAAAAACAAACATTTAAAGAAATTTAATATTTAGTCATGCATCCCTGTTTTTCTATTACTTGAGTCAATCTATTTGGGATGAACTGAATTAAATTTAATACAATATTTGGATTAATATCTTCCTAGCGGTATAGTAGGTAGGTATAGTATAGTTGTATAGTTTCCCATAAATCCTCAGATATCCCAAAAAAGCAGCATCCTGTTCAGGGGTGGACATTTTGGGACGACCTGAACCAACTTTTTGGTTTAGTAAATCTTCCTGTTCCCAGCGTTGCTTAATTTTTAATATAGATTTTTTATTTATATTATACCACAGTACGAATTGACCATTCTTTTTCGATTCTTGATACTATTTGAGCCTTTTTAACTGACTATAGACCTATAGGTATTTTTATTTTCTACTGTCAGTTATAGTGACTTAAGTCAGTGGAAAGCCGGTTTTACGCAATAATGTCGACAGTTTTCTCTCATTCTAATTCTTGTACGCCTTTTTAATGAATACAACTGTACTGATGAATGGGATACAAATTTGAGATTATAATTCGGAATTAAGTATTTTACTGATATTTTTTATTAGTGGATGCTATTTATCAACAAATCACATATAGCCTTATATAAATTTCAATGAAATATGTATATATACGTAAGAAAATAACTACCCACCACAGTACTGAAATTTTGACTGGAACTATACGTGCATTCACCACAACTTCGCCGCTTGCATTGTTTTTAAGATGACTGTCGTGCAAAGGGCGGGCTCTGTAGGTAATTTTTTACCAACACTTGAGTTAAAACAAGGACTTGACGTTTAAACTACAATATTTTGCAGGAATTTTGAATTTTAACATTGTACACAGACCTGACGGGAAAAGTGAGTACAAAGATTATCAATTTTTAAAAAATTGCTATTATTCGAATCTATGATAAAATATGAAAAATACATTATTTAATGTTTTATAGTTTGTAGTGAAATTGAAAAATTTAAGATAAATTAAATATATTTTAAAATAAAATCACTCAAATATTTGATTCAGGAGTTGTGACACGTCAAGGTACTGATGTTTTGAATATTTATTATGTTTTTCTACAAACGTGCTTTTAAAAAAATACATTAAAATTTGGTGGACAGGTTAAAAAAAACCTGGATCTTTTGTAATATACTAAAATATTTACAAAAAATATTAAAATACCTACTCTATTGACTGATGACATCAAGTTGTCCAACTTTTGTAGAATCACCCATATGTTAAAAATATTACCACTCAAAATTAAATTAAATAAATGAATGTAAAATAAAAAAAAAAATAAAAAAACTATCTTTATTTACTTTTTTATCATTGTTTATTCGATTTTTTGAAAATTCAACCACAATCCTTTTTTCGGTGAAAGGGTTACATGCCAGGGATCAAATTGTAGAGGTTCTTTTGTTTTTGGGTTGACACTTATGGAGAATGCACGAATAATATGCGCCACTCCACTTTTAATTTGTAACATACCGAATTTTTGACCTACAAATATATTTTTTTATTATAACTATTTACTAATAGGTCCAAAAAAAAATTCTTCAACATTTATGGTTCAAAGATACAGAGTGTTATGTAATTAATGTTATATATTAAAATGGGTTGTTCCTTAGGGTCCATAAAGAAGCACCTGAAACTTTTTTTTCTAAATTCCAAAAGTACGCCACTGATCGACTAGGAACTTTAGGTTAATCTGGTGGATTTATTATGTTATGGTTGGTAACAACAGTGGTTCCAAAATCTCTCAAAAAAGTTGACAAACATTGTTTAAATTTAGCTTAATTACAAAAATGACAAAATTAACAATGCAAATTGTCAATTTGGCGTTTTTATTAATTGTTGGTTGTTTCATTTTTGTACTGAAGATAAATTCAAACAAAATCTGCCAACTTTTATGACAGAATCTAGTGCATTTCTTTTAAATTTTAGGTTATGTTTTTAAATTGTAAATATCTTAACTAAGGGAAGTGCTTTTGGATTTATTTACACAAATTAAATGTTTAAAGTTTAACCTGTGAACTGGTCCCAATTTCATCTGAGTAAACAGAGAAAAAAACTGATGAAAAAATTAATTTTGTGGTTATGGATTTCAAATTTCAAAGGTACTAAATTTTCTAATCATTGCTTAAGCTAATAGCTGGATCAGTAAATAAATACAGAAGGGTATTAGAGCTTTAAGGGCATAAAACTTTCGTATTTATTGAGTTTTTATTAATTTTTTGCAAGAAAAATTTTTAGTAACAATTTTTTACATCTGGCAACGCATAGCTACTTTGTTGGCTGGTATCTATGTACTCACAAAATACAGGTGCAGAGATAAACAAGTGTGTAACCAGTGGCGTATCACAAAAAATATAAAAAACTTCTAATGCATATTTTTTCTTTATTTTTGAAAAAATGTTTTTTTAAATATTTTTCCTTTATTCCTTATGTCAAAAGGTATTCTGTATTTTAATATATAACATTAATTACATAACACCCTGTATATTATGGAAAACCTACCAATACAAACTCTTGGTCCATCACCACACGGTCTAAAAACACCTTGCGATCTATCATCCTTCAAATTTTCCTTCAAAAAACGCTCAGGATTAAATTTATGGGGTTCGTCAAAATATTTTGGGTCGAGAAATAGACCTTTAACTGGGATAACCATGACAGTACCAACATCTACGGTGACTTCGATGTCTTTAAATTCAGATGTTTTGGTTGGTTTATAAGAGAATTTTTCTGTACATAGTTTGAAGAGGGCTCCTATGAAAGGGTTTTTTCTTTGAGATTCTGCAAAAGAAAAAATATTTGAACTTTTAAGTTTTTAAGAAAGTTATATCCAACTCAAGTTGTTTCGTACGTACTATGCTCCACACTTCAAAGTCCCACCACGTGACCACGTACGGAACGCAGTCTTTTGAAAATTTGTCAGTTAAGGCTTTTCAGGCTTTTCATGTAACTGTCAAAGTATAGTCAATGAAAGATATAATATTTATACTGTTACCGTTTATGTTTAAGCGTTAAAAGTTTCTAAATCTTTATAGTATCACAGTAACAATGGTTGGTTTAAGTGTTTAGGAGTATAAATACTGCATTTAATGAAATTCTAAAGTGTATAGTGCCAAATAAGTAAAATTTTTGTGCATTTGGTCCAGAGATATCTGGTTTTATCCATAAAATAGTTTTAACTAAACGGCATTTATTAAAAAAATCTAGCTTCTCTATTATGGAATAAGAATATCTGATCTGTATCAAAGGTAGGTTAATATATTATAACAAAAAATATCTAATTTTGAAATTTTAAGGTTAGAAAAATCTATTTTGATCAAAATAAATAAGTATTTTGGATTATTTGGAAGAGTGTGTTAATATGGTCATATAAATATAGATATACTAAATAATTGTTGAATATGGTTCAAATTAAATTAAAGCTTTTATACTTCTAACAACAAAACTTGTGCATACCTCTCGACATCCCTACTTTATAGATTATAAGGAAAAATTTTTTTTAGAGATACATGCAATGTAAAAATTTTTAATACTCCCATAAAATGTGATTTTTGAAATTTTTAAAAGTTATAATGATTTTTCGATGAAGATAAAATTCAGTTGAAGCTTTATACGTAATTGTATTGACAAAACTTTATGTAGGTATACTTTAAGCTGGATTAGAAAGACTACTACAAGTAAAAATATTAGATAGAGTATACTGTGGATTTATTTAAATTTTAGAATTTATAAGTATACCTAATGATTGTTCGATGTAGATAAAATTTTGTCGAAGCTTTTATAGGTACTTGTATTGACAATATGGGTATATTAGCTGACAGTGTAAGGAACTTTAAGAAGGTTAGCTATTGCATTTCCAAAAACACTTGTAAAAACAATTTACAGTTACAGTACCTAATGGTTTTATATTTGAGATCTCTCATAGTGCTTATTTTTAAGAGCAAGTTATTTAATTACAGCTTACATTTAGGTAGTTGATGTTTGTTGATTTTTTTACTTGGGCATAAATATTTATTTATTTAAAGTACTTAAAACTTAAATATATTTCAAGGTTTTTAAAAGTGTGTTTTATTCCAATTAAACCAACATTATAGGGGTTTATTTTAAAGGAATCCAAAACAATCTATCTAACTTAAAGTAGGGATGCCGAGAGGTATGCACAAGTTTTGTTGTTAGGAGTATACTGCCGTGCTTAATGAAAACGCCGTAACCAACAATTGTGCGATTTTTGTTTTACGGCATTTTCTACTAGAAAAATTCACCCTGCGTCTATCCCCGGTACTCAAAAAACCATATATATATATAGATACGGTTTTTTGAGTACCGGGGATAGACGCAGGATGAATTTTTCTAGTAGAAAATGCCGTAAAACAAAAATCGCACAATTGTTGGTTACGGCGTTTTCATTAAGCACGGCAGTATAAAAGCTTTAATTTAATTTGAACCATATTCAACAATTATTTAGTATATCTATATTTATATGACCATATTAACACACTCTTCCAAATAATCCAAAATACTTATTTATTTTGATCAAAATAGATTTTTTTAACCTTAAAATTTCAAAATTAGATGATATTTTTTGTTATAATATATTAACCTACCTTTGATACAGATCAGATATTCTTATTCCATAATAGAGAAGCTAGATTTTTTTAATAAATGCCTTTTAGTTAAAACTATTTTATGGATAAAACCAGATATATGTAGACCAAATGCACAAAAATTTTACTTATTTGGCACTATACACTCTAGAATTTCATTAAATGCAGTATTTATACTCCTAAACACTTAAACCAACCTTTGTTACTGTGATACTATAAAGATTTATAAACTTTTAACGTTTAAACATAAACGGTAACAGTATAAATATTATATCTTTCATTGACTATACTTTGACAGTTACATAACCTGAAAAGCCTTAACTGACAAATTTTCAAAAGACTGCGTTCCGTACGTGGTCACGTGGTGGGACTTTGAAGTGTGGAGCATAGTACCATTAAGACAGGCATCTAGATATTCCATTTCCATTATATTATCATACGTCAAGTTTCCACCATTTTTATCCATGGCGTCGTTGATTTCTTGTCGCAATTTATCCTGTACTTCTGGATGTTTAGCAATTTCGTAAAGGAGAAAACTCATCACAATAGAACTGGTTTCGTACCCAAAAACCCCGAAAAATGCGGCTACATGGGCCATCATGTCCTCAGAATCAAAATCCTTCGTCGAGTCTCTTACTTGCATCATGGATTGCAAAAAATCTGGTCTCTGTACGTTATTTTTTTCCCTGTAGTCGACAGTCTCAAATACAATTTTTCTCAGCCTTTCAGCCACCTCTTCGGAAATAATTCTTATAAAAAAGGTATTATTAGTTCCCAAAGAGTTTACCAAAGTTCAAGCTTGCTTACCTTATGGGTAAAACCTTCATAAGAGAGGGTATAACCATAGTTAAAAATATTTTAAGGAAATGCGTTTTTTCGCGAAAAAATTTGTTTGCTATATCTTGAAAGTCGCTGTTGGGGTCATTAAAACAATTTGCGTCCAGGCCAAAAGCACAACTCGCCAAATTTTCCAGAGTTATTTTCATACAAAGAGTTTTGGCCTCCAGGCAATTTTCTCCAGCATCAATTTGATTGTTTACGTAGATTACAGCTTTTTCACTAACATTGTCCAAGAGGGTAAACATACTTTTCATCTACAAAATATCTGAGTTCAGATGATATTGTTAGAAAGCTAGATATAATTTGTTATTTATCTAAATTACAGCTACACAGTAAAAAAATATCAACTCTAAGCAACACTAATTAGAGTTCACACAGGTCCACACTAAATAGTGTTGTTTTATAAAACCACAATTAGAGTTAATTTGTAGTGTAATTTTCCCCAAGTAAGCAAGTATGATTTTACACTATAGCACTAAGGATAAAGTAATTTTACACTGTATTATAAAGTGTTAATTTACCTAAAATCGTGTACTTCTACACCTCCTGGGTAAAATCCCACTTTTGTTCAGTGTAAATTAACACTACTTTGGAAAAGTTCTAATTTTAGAAAGGTACTTTTACTCTTTTAGTGCAAACTTCTAGTGTAAATTAACACTATTATTTGAGTAAAACCTATTGGTGGTAGTGAATGAAATGAAGGTAAATAAAGAGAAACATTTATTTGGAACAAAAATCTATGACAATTATCAAAATCGGTGCCTTTTAAAATATAATTTTATATTTGAGTCGTATGGCTGGGTTAAGCAAAATGATTCCTTAAAACGTAAAAGTTTTAGATCAATGCAATGTTTTACTGGCTGTCAACTTGTAAGCAATGAATTATCTTGAGAATTTATCAGTAATCCATTTTTCTGTTATAAAAAATGGGTGATTCCATTGGTAGAGAGGCGTCAGGCGGCTGTATGTCGGGGATTTACCACACGTGTACAAATTTTCCATAATATTAATAAAAATGTAGGTATAGGTTAATATAACAACCATTTCGCTTGAAAATAAAAAGTAAATCAAGTGTGTATGTATTTGGGGCAATCCATGCCAAATCACCGAGGTTTTGACCCGACCCCCTTCGATTTCGCTGAAACTTTTTTATCATTTTCTATCCTACCAAAGACATTTTTCTGAATTTTTTCAGATTTTTTTACCCGACCCAAAAAAAGTTACGAATTTTTGAAAAAAAACCGCTCTTTTTTTTTAAATTGCAATAACTTTTTCACAAATTGGCCTTTCGGCACTTTTTTTTTGAAATTTTAGTTTTTAAAGGTAGTTTTCAGAAAAAAATACAAACAATTTTTCGGAAGTCACGATATATGAAATATTTAAGTTTTTTCAATAAAACCGTCATTTTTTCGAATTCTGAAACCTTCGATTCTCAATTTTTTTGTCTCAAAAAAAACTTCAACTAAGACAGTATTTAACCCCACTATTCCCATTTTGTGCCGACTTTCCATTCTATTGTTTTTTTTTTCGATTGAAAATAAAGAAATTTCTCAATTTGGCTTATTTTTTATGACTTTGCGTTGAGGTTTTTTTTATTGTTTTTAAAAGCTCAGAAGTTGAATAAAATTGGATAAAAACAACCGTAAATTTTTTATTAAAGTATTGTTTTTACATCGTTAAAAATCTAAATATTTTAATTATTTTCCTCGGTTTAGCGATTGTTTTCTTGAATTCTTAACCGTACAATGTACGTAAACGTAAACTCTTTTTAAGAAACAAAATAGTCTAATTCACAGTTTAAAAAAATATCAAGACATTAGTTTATTAAAAGAGATATTTTTTTAAAAATTCACATTTTTATTATTTTACCACCTCTTTTAAATAAAAAAAAACAACGAAACGTCAAGTATACCTACTTTAAAAAACATATATTTGAATGTGATTATAATCGTCTTTATTTATAATTTAATAACACAAATTCATTCTTTAACACAAGTTCATTACCATCAGTCACTGAACATCCACCACAACCTTTCATACTTTCTTTATGTTTTTTTATTACCATAACCTTCCGTACCTTCTTTAATGCAAGTTCATTCTTTAACATAAGTTCATTCCTTAAGACACAACATTGTACGGTTAAGAATTCAAGAAAACAATCGCTAAACCGAGGAAAATAATTAAAATATTTAGATTTTTAACGATGTAAAAACAATACTTTAATAAAAAATTTACGGTTGTTTTTATCCAATTTTATTCAACTTCTGAGCTTTTAAAAACAATAAAAAAAACCTCAACGCAAAGTCATAAAAAATAAGCCAAATTGAGAAATTTCTTTATTTTCAATCGAAAAAAAAAACAATAGAATGGAAAGTCGGCACAAAATGGGAATAGTGGGGTTAAATACTGTCTTAGTTGAAGTTTTTTTTGAGACAAAAAAATTGAGAATCGAAGGTTTCAGAATTCGAAAAAATGACGGTTTTATTGAAAAAACTTAAATATTTCATATATCGTGACTTCCGAAAAATTGTTTGTATTTTTTTCTAAAAACTACATTTAAAAACAAAAATTTCAAAAAAAAAATCGTGCCGAAAGGTCAATTTGTGAAAAAATTATTGCAATTTAAAAAAAAAGAGCGGTTTTTTTTCAAAAATTCGTAACTTTTTTTGGGTCGGGTAAAAAAATCTGAAAAAATTCAGAAAAATGTCTTTGGTAGGATAGAAAATGATAAAAAAGTTTCAGCGAAATCGAAGGGGGTCGGGTCAAAACCTCGGTGATTTGGCATGGATTGCCCCATTTATATTATTAATGTTACAAGTACCCGACCTACGGCCGTAAATTATTGATATATAATATAGGTCGGGTATGGACATCCTTTTAACATATTGGTATTTATTGAGTATTAAGGCTTAAAGAAAAAGGAAGTATAATACTTACTAAAAAATAAGAATGTTTCCTTATGGATTCGCCGCAATTAAAATCTAACTGAACAAAAATGCCACACTTCCACAACGTGGTATCTCCGGATATGCACTGCGTAGGTAGATAGGTACCAACCAAACATTTTAAAACGCATTTCGGTTATTACCAATTTTTTCAGTGTATTTTGCCACTATTGGTGTAATTTAACTTTAATTGTGATACAATGTGCACTAGTAGGGTAAAGAAAAAAGAGCTCTTAGTAACATCAAAACAGACAAAGAAATTGGGATGCACTGTAGTGTACATTTTGTCATTATTTAACACATTAAGGGGTAATAAACACTCGCATTAAGTTTTTCTACCTTTTTGATTTATTTTAATAATAAATATTGTGAATGTACCAATGAATAATGTTCATATTCTTTAAATATGTTTAATAAAGTTAATAAGCACTAAATGCTACCTAGTGTATTTTGTAGTGTAACTTTTACACTTACAAATCAACTCTAATATTTTTACCCCTACACTAAAAAATTTTCACAGGCAAAATTTTTTACTGTGTATTTATTTTCTAATTTGTCAAAAAGTACAATAGCGTAAAAAATAGTATTAACCTTTCCACTCGTAAAGTTTGGTGTAAGTAGAGCTCTAGTCTTTTTCCAGACATGGTCCTTTGTAAAGAATGGGTTTCTACCCATAACTGGGTCCACGTTTTTATCAACAAACATTTCATTGTCCATAAAACTTTTGAAATTTTTCACGTAAATGCATTTAAGGAATTCTGGGTCCCTTACCAGCAAACATGGGGTTACCGCTTTGTATACTCCCACAAATGGGTAATCCTCATATTCTCTGAAAAAAATATTTCCAAATATACACAAATATCAAAATAATAAACAGTGATTTATATTTTTATCTAAACTATAATAAATATTTATGTTTTGTACTCTTAATTAAGTTTTAATTAACAAAATTTAAAATGAAAATACAATAATATTTACTTATTAAAATTATTTAAGCCGGTATCAACAAATAGTTTATACAGTGACCGGCAAAAGTATGGAACAAAATTCATTAAAAAATGTGCCTTTTGTCCCAAACAAAATTCCTTGATTTTGCTTTTTAATTCCGCACATTTTGATGTAAAATGTTCATATTTGCCGCCATTTTTGTAGAAGCTATGACGTCATTGGCCGTTTTTTTTTAAATTGCACCCCCTTTTTGCAGATTCGAATAGATTATGAGTTCAGCAATATGCACATGTATACCTTTTGGGATTTAAAAATTTGTATTTCCAAAAAAATATTGTATATCTTCATGAAAATTATTTTGAAAATGCTTTCAATGGATTATTTTATTATAATAAACTGAAAAAGTTTGACCTTGAAAAGAAATATTTTGGTGACTTAAAAATGATATTTATCAAAATCCTAGCTGCTCCTCTTTTCGAAATTTTTTGAAAATTCATGATTTTTTTTTTTAATTTTTGTTTTTCTTAAAGTCTTCCTTTGACAAAGTACACATTTGAACATCGATTTTTATAATATTGGAGTATATTGTTAAGGAGATAATAATATATACAGGGTTGGCCAAAAATCGCTTCTTTTAATAAAGCAAAAGCGTAAATTCATGATTTTGACATAACATGCAAAAAATATATATACACAGTGTGAATATATATACACAGTGTGAATCCCATTTTGTAGCCTGATAAACATAAAAATATCTTAAAAAACATGGGTGTGTATTACACACCCATGTTTTTTAAGATATTTTTATATTTATCAGGCTACAAAATGGGATTCTTATTAAGACTTTATAAGAAAAATTGATTTTGAATAAAATTTAATAAAATAACTTTTTTTGGAGATAAATCTTTTTTGTGCATTATGCTTTTTACTATATAAAAAAGTGATTTTTGGCTAACCCTGTATAAATCTAATGATGTGCTCAGTATGGAAACAGTATTTTCCAAGTCTCGTTAACAATATACTACAATATTATAAAAATCTTTTTTGTGCATTATGCTTTTTACTATATAAAAAAGTGATTTTTGGCTAACCCTGTATAAATCTAATGATGTGCTCAGTATGGAAACAGTATTTTTCAAGTCTCGTTAACAATATACTACAATATTATAAAAATCGGTGTAAAAATGTGTACTCTGTCAAAGGTAACATAAACAAAAATTTAAAAAAAAATAAGAATTTTCAAAAAATTTCGTAAATAGGAGCTAGGGGTTTGGTAAATATCATTTTAAAGTAACCAAAGGGTCCCGAACAAGAAACTGCAATCAATAAAAATCGGTGTACAAATGTGTACTCTGGCAAAGGTAGACTTTGCGATAAACAAATAATTATTAAAAAAATGATTTTTTGTCAAATTTAAAAAAAAGTTAGAATTTTGGTAAATATCGTTTTTAAATCTCCAAAGAGTGCCGATCAAAAAACTTCAACCAGTTTTTCGTTCAAAATTGAAAACTACTAAAAAGCCTAAATTAAACAACATTTTAAATATTCTCTAAGCGTTATTTTATTTATTTTTATTAAAAATCAATTTTTTTATAAAAGGTTGATAAGAGAATACCATTTTGTAACCTGATAAACGCAAAAATATCTAAAAAAAAATGGGGATAAATCTTTCTTGCGTGTTATGCCAAAATCATGAATTTACGCTTTTGCTTTATTAAAAATAAGCGATCTTTGGCTCACCCTGTATATATCAAATGATGTGAACAGTATTAAAAAGCATTCTTTAAGTCTCTTCAATAATATACTCTAATTTTATAAAAATCGGTGTAAAAATGTGTACTCTGTCAAAGGTATAATAAACAAAAATTTAAAAAAAATCATGTATTTTCAAAAAATTTCGAAAAGAGGAGCAGCTAGAATTTTGGTAAATATCATTTTTAGGTTTCCAAAGGGTCCCGAACAAGAAACTGCAATCAGTTTTTGGCGGCATTTTTATGTGACTTAAACTTCATTCAGGCACACCGTGTCTATAAACAAAAACCCATTAAAAAGTCTTTTAATAAAAACTATATTAGATCAAAACATTATTAAAAACTATAAATTTTCCACTTTTAATAATTAATATTTTTGGCTAACCCTGTATAAATCTAATGATGTGCTCAGTATGGAAACAGTATTTTCCAAGTCTCGTTAACAATATACTACAATATTATAAAAATCTTTTTTGTGCATTATGCTTTTTACTATATAAAAAAGTGATTTTTGGCTAACCCTGTATAAATCTAATGATGTGCTCAGTATGGAAACAGTATTTTCCAAGTCTCGTTAACAATATACTACAATATTATAAAAATCGGTGTAAAAATGTGTACTCTGTCAAAGGTAACATAAACAAAAATTTAAAAAAAAATAAGAATTTTCAAAAAATTTCGTAAATAGGAGCTAGGGGTTTGGTAAATATCATTTTAAAGTAACCAAAGGGTCCCGAACAAGAAACTGCAATCAATAAAAATCGGTGTACAAATGTGTACTCTGGCAAAGGTAGACTTTGCGATAAACAAATAATTATTAAAAAAATGATTTTTTGTCAAATTTAAAAAAAAGTTAGAATTTTGGTAAATATCGTTTTTAAATCTCCAAAGAGTGCCGATCAAAAAACTTCAACCAGTTTTTCGTTCAAAATTGAAAACTACTAAAAAGCCTAAATTAAACAACATTTTAAATATTCTCTAAGCGTTATTTTATTTATTTTTATTAAAAATCAATTTTTTTATAAAAGGTTGATAAGAGAATACCATTTTGTAACCTGATAAACGCAAAAATATCTAAAAAAAAATGGGGATAAATCTTTCTTGCGTGTTATGCCAAAATCATGAATTTACGCTTTTGCTTTATTAAAAATAAGCGATCTTTGGCTCACCCTGTATATATCAAATGATGTGAACAGTATTAAAAAGCATTCTTTAAGTCTCTTCAATAATATACTCTAATTTTATAAAAATCGGTGTAAAAATGTGTACTCTGTCAAAGGTATAATAAACAAAAATTTAAAAAAAATCATGTATTTTCAAAAAATTTCGAAAAGAGGAGCAGCTAGAATTTTGGTAAATATCATTTTTAGGTTTCCAAAGGGTCCCGAACAAGAAACTGCAATCAGTTTTTGGCGGCATTTTTATGTGACTTAAACTTCATTCAGGCACACCGTGTCTATAAACAAAAACCCATTAAAAAGTCTTTTAATAAAAACTATATTAGATCAAAACATTATTAAAAACTATAAATTTTCCACTTTTAATAATTAATATTTTCAAAACTATCAGCCCAAAATGAATAAATAAATATTTCTGAATTTACAATTTCATAATCGAATATTCGAATATCCAAAAAATGGGGGGTACAATTAAAAAAATAGTCCGATTACATCAGAGATTCTACAAAAATGGCAGAAAATATGATAATTGTACATCAAAATGTTCGTAATTCCCTATTCAAGGATTTTTTGAGAAAAAATGGCGAATTTTTCAATGAAGTTTTTCCATATTTTGCCAGTCACTGTATGAGTCTGATAGTACCTACTTAATTATCTTTATTTTTAAACCTTGTTATTGCAATACTCTTTTTAATAGTACATATATTATTATACGAGAGATAATGCAGGCTATTATTCACGAGGATGATGTTTACGTCTCGAGTCGCCAGACGAGTGAATAGTGCGCATAATCTCAAGTGTAATAATATACTTTTTATACTCCTATTACGGAATTTGACCGTTCTAATATCACTTTTATCTATGGAATGACATATATTCCGTGTTACTGAATGAAATATTCTCATCGGATGACAGAATAAACACTCGTGGCGACATCTCTGTTTTTAATATCTAACAAATTTTAGATCGATCCAACCTCACTTTCTTCCAATTAAATTATATTTCTATGGTATTTTTTGGAAACGTAGAAAAAGTATAGTCTGAAACACGTTTCTTACAGAATATACTATTATCTCCTGCAATAAGTAGATAATTAAATGATTTTCAAAAATAAATAAATAAAATCTGACATCTGTCAAAGGGTTAACCTCACTTTTGACCAATTTCTTCTAATCTCTTGGTTTTACTATATTTGGCTTGGCTCAAATAAATTATTTATTTCGATATCTACAAGAAGATATTTATTTAGTGGAAAACTTGGGTTTATTTGACTTTTTATACTGATATTTGGTTAATAGAAGTAAATATCTAGTTGACTTTTTATCTCATGTTTAGTAGAAGCCTACTTAAAAAAACAAAACCTACATCCAAACAATTTAATTAATTGCTCTAAATAAATATTTCTTTACAATTAATCACAACAATAAGTTGTTTTCAATAAACTTATGAGTTACAACCAAATAATAGTATTTTCTTATTGTAAAAATTAAGTTACGAATAAGAAAATTTTTCTTCATACAAGAAAACCTGTTTCAAATAAATGCATTTTCTTAAATCAAGAGATAACTTTTCTCTGTGTAGTCGCCTTCTTCAAATTTAATACCCGATTGGTTTAAATCACTGATGCCTAACAACGTGAATAATGAAATTATTATCCCTTTGTTAGGCACGTAATTTATAATGTTTAATATTATTCACGAAAAAAAATATTATTCGATAAGAATAAATAAAATCAAGTATTCTTATTTTTTGTTATACTTATTATCACACCTGGTTTGCTAAAGAGATTGACATGCTCTGAAATATTTTTAATATTTTTGCCTATATTTGTGAAGGATCATATCTTACTTGTATATATCAAAAAAGCAATCCCCTAGGGGTTTCTTTCCCAAAAAGCTCTCTCCAATATGCCCCACCAAAAATGTGGGTTTGGGCCCAGGTACATTTTTTCTCTTCCAATACTCGAAGGTACGTCGATACAAAACGTACAGAAGAGTTACAACAAATATAAGCAACACGACAAACATGATGCACTGTGAACAAGTGAATTTGATTTCTAAATGGGTACAGCTTTTATAATATATATAAAAAAATTATATTATTGTAAACAAGGTCAGGTTTGCATATTTAGATTATTACAAGCACTTTGTCTTGTCTTTATTACCAATATATATAAAAGCACAGTAAGCGAGGTGATTGGCATTTTCATATACGAGGTGTGTTCAGAAAATAACGGGAATTGTTAAATTTCGCGGGTTCGGAGGGTCCGGTTGTCATAAAATTTTCTTTATTATGTTGGTATACATGCCCCCGAAGTATGATATAAACTTTAGCTGTTTTCATTGTTTACTTTGTCTGTGGCAGCCGATAAGGTTAGACGTGTTTTATTAGCTCGGCGATTTTTCGTTCGTTAAAAGAAATGGATCAAATAATTTGTATCCAATTTTGCTTAAATAATGAAATAAATTCTGTGAAATGTTAACAAAGGCCTATAGTGAGTCTGCTATAAGTAAAACAAGAGTTTACAATTGGTATAAGAGTTTTCAAGATGGCCGTGAAGACGTTGAAGATGACGAACGCCCCGAACGCACAAGCACATTAACAACCGATAAAAACATGGAAAAAGTGGAAGAAATGGTTATAAACCATCAGAGAAGTCGCTGATGATGTTGGTATATCGATTGGCTCATCCCATGAAATTTTTTCAAATGTTTTGGGTATGAAACGCGTGGCAGCAAATTTTGTTCTAAAATTGTTAAATTTTGAACAAAAGTTTTGGCCAAAAACAATACTGTAATGATGCCCCAGCCTCCATATTCGCCAGACATGCCTCTGTCTGACTTTTCCCTATTCTCAAAAATAAAGAGAACCTTAAAGGGCCGTCGTTTTGCAAGCATAGATGACATTAAAAGCGCATCGCTGAAAGAACTAAAGGCTATCCCAAAGATCGAGTTATAGAAGTGTTTCGAGTATTGGAAGAAGAGCTGGCACATGTGCATAATATCCAATGGGGAAAAAACTACTAAGAAGTTCGCTGGAAAAACCTTTAATGTTCCTGATTATATTTAGGGTATTGGAAGCCCCTGTTGAGAAGGAGTCTTACTAAAATTACTAAAAATTTAATATTATATATTAAACCAAATGTCACCCAAGTAACACTAATGCTCTCATTTCAATCTCCAAATGATCTTCAAGACAGCCTTAGGACCATCATAAAGCAAAAAGGGCCTATCCTTAAAGGGTCCTCAAGACTAAATTTTAAAACTATATAAAACCATTCAGTTTAATTTTATATTCTTAAAAAGTTCTTAAAGGCAACTTTAAATTTATGTATTAAAACTTATTTGCATTTAAAATATACTTGCAGCAGACTAAATTAACTTTAGAATCTATAATTATATTTAATCCTAATAGGGTTTTATTTTGGTTACTAAAGTGAGACAACTCTTTGTGTGAAATAGTAAATGGCAGAGTCGTAATATTTTAAACATAACTCCCAAATATAAAGTAGATCATAAAAAATATTCAAATGCAAACTGTTCTGTCAAAAAATTTAACAACGGATGGTACTTTTCTGACAAAATATAAAATACTTCTACATAACTGGAGCTGCATCAACTTTATGTTGTTTTTGTATTATTTCAAAAATATCATCAAATTTTATTTTGCATTTAAACATCTAAATGCTTGTCTTTATTGTGGAGTCAGTATTTTATATAAAACATGGCGCAATCTAGATTAAAACTGATTGCAACTTTATAGAACATTTTAAATCTTACAATTACTTTCGCAAACACCTATTTACTCTTTATTTTAAAATTGAGGTTTTTTTTTTAAATTACCACTTCGTTTTAATTTAAATTACTTGTCGCTAATATTTTCCATTTTAAATATGTGTCCTAATTTTCTTTCACGTGTAAACTGCACTGGTTCACTAAATTAGTTTATTGAGAAGATGGCTTTATCCAAATGTGGATAATAAATAATAAAAATCGAACAGGCATTTCTTTAAACCAAATTGACCAAATTAAAACCTTTGAGATTTAAAATATCCTTAATGTACTCTTTAAAACGTAAAAATTATGTTTTTGGATTTAAAGTGGAATTTTATTGAGCATAAAGGCCTAAGATCAAATAGTTTTCTTAGTGGGTTTTAATGAGTTCATCAAGGGTACTCTATATATAGTTTTATAAAACTATTTGTTCGAAAATGGATTGTTTTAAAACCAACTTGATATTTAATCCTTTAAAAAATAAAATTAGTTTTAAAATAGCCAATGTCGAGAGTTTTATAAAACCAGTATAAGATTTATAGGGCAAATAAATTAAAAGACCGGGGTGCTATTTAATAGTATATTAAAGAACTAATGTCATAAGAGGTCATTTTGTCGCACGAGAACAATTTTTATTCTATTATATCTATTTTGCAAAAATTCTATAAAAAATCAATTTTATACCTTATATGCTAAAGAAGTATCGCTAGTAGCGCCACCACTCGGCTGTTATCATCGTAACAAAAGTACAACTTTTGATAATCAGCTGTCAAACGCTTATGTTACAAACGAGTGTTTTTGAGAATAAAGCCGGAAAATGTTAAAACATATCGAAAAAAACCGTGGCACGATTTGTTGTGTTGATGGGTGTATTTCGAGAGGAAATCCTGGGTTATGGCAAGCCGTTTTACTATTTAATGTACAATTTTTGGGCTAGGGATATAAAATTCACCGTATTTAAAATGGTTAAAATTTCCATTATGTTTGATAAATAATGGATTATTTAAAATTTAGTTGTACATAAATTTAATTAAAAATACATTAAATAGTAAAAGGGCTTGCCAACTTTGTGAAATTAATTTTAATTTATTTTTAATTTGTCCAAATCTTTGGTTTAATTCGGTTAAATTTTTATGATACCTTATTACAATTACATCAATTTTTCTGAAACAATACATGCCTTGCACATGTTGAATTCATCGTCAAAAATTATTGTAACTGTATGGAAATGAAATGTTACAAGAAATAACTCCATATTGCAAAGGTGTTGATATTGAATTACAATTCAATGAATTATTTTTTAATAGGTGCACAAATATTTTAATTTTTATTTGAAACTTATTTTAAGTTGCAATGTTTTTTATATAATAATGTTAATTTAATTATTTAAAACGATGTAGAATATAATTTTTATTGCTTGAATTAAAATGGTGTATAACATCATTTTAATTTCTGGAATTAAAATGATGTCGAGTATAATTTTAATTCGTGATTTAAAATTATGTAGAGTATAATTTTAAATGAGCGTACTAAAATGATGTGTACATAATATTAATTCAATTAATATGATATATAGTATAATTTTAATTATGTAAATTAAAACCATGCACATATAATTTTAATTCCAGAATTAAAATTATACACACATAATTTTAATTCACAAAATTAAAATGATACTATCCATCATTTTAAATGAATTAAAATTATGCTACACATCATTTTAATTGAATTAAAATTATACTTTACATAATTTTAATTGAATTAAAATTATGTACATAATGTTAATTCGGCAACGCCGCAATCTCGAAAGCTAACGTTAGAATGTTCCTTTTTTGGTAACTTTTCGTTTGGCTAGTGTGGTAATATGTCAGGCGGTATTTGGTGGGAACACTGTTGCCAACAGTCTGTTGGTGGGATTACAATTAAACAATTTAGGGCCAATTCTTCAATATCAAATAAACTTAAGATTATCTGCAACCTTGAGTTAACCTTTAGTTTATGTAAAATAAATGTTTTTCAATTATCAGTTAAAAGATTATCACATGTTTATTGTCGGTTAATCGCTACTAAGAGCAGAGGTAAACTCCAATTCATAACCTCAAAATCTTAATATATTTATAAACAGCTGTATTGTTTAGAATTTATCTGGTGAAAATGAATTTTGATCCCCTTAATTTAGATCTTATAAACGCGTTTAGCGATGATGAAGAAGGTCCCGTAAGGCGTTCTAAAATTATAAGAGTGCGTCCAAACTTTTATGAAGAATACGAATAAATTGACTTCTTTCGGAGATTTCGTTTGTCGAAAGGAGTTCCCTGCTTAAAATACCCCATAAAGACATACAAAATAATCTATCGGGCACTACCGGATTCAATATGTGCATTTTTCCATGTTTTTTTTTCCGGTTTCAGCCCGATAGAAAATGTATAGGAAATTACCCATAGGCACACCATAACTTTTACATTTTCCCTATTGAGACCGATAGCAAATAACTCAATGAAAGATATATGGGGATATCCCTATAGAGCAACCATAAAACATTTAACAAAATTTTATTAAAACCTATGGGGCCCTATGGGGGAAAAACTAATTTCTACATTTATGTGTATTTTCCCCATCGAAACCAATAGAAAATAAATCAAGGGTGGATATCCCTATAGAACAACCATAAATCCCAACTATGGGTCCTATACATACCCAGTGGCGTAGCGTGGACTAATATAGACGTGGGCGAAGTCGCATCAGCGAGGCCCCTTTTCTTTCGTTCCCAAGATCTAACCAATAAATCTATCTTACCAAACATGCTTTTACACGACATACCTACTTATGATAGTGATATTATGCACGCCAGTGCTATTTTTCAAAATAAAAATTATTTTTTAAATCCTTATTCATTTTAGGGCAAATTTGATTTCTTGACCATTTTTCGTACGACTAAAGGTTTTCGATGAAAAAAATACAAAGCATTTAATGCGAAAACCGTTAGTCGTACGAAAAATGGTCAAGAAATAAAATTTGCCCTAAAATGAATGTGGATTTAAAAAATAATTTTTATTTTGAAAAATAGCAGTGGCGTGCATAATATTTTTCCAAAATATCTAGACCACATCCTGTACGGACGCCACTGGTAAAAAAAATAAAAAATCTTCTAAATCAAAAACTTACTGTTAATAATTAGAAGACGTGTGCCAAATTTTATAAAAATATCTAGGAAGTTATTAAAGTTATGATAAAAAACGATTTCTTTTCTTAAAACTTTAACACCCTGTAAC